GGGGAGGGAAGTGCACGGGATTATGGTGATGGCACATGGGTGACTTGGTGATGGGAAACCCGTGAGGATTACAATTGAGATGGAAAAAAAAATGTACAAAATGATGTAAAAATGTTATTAAAAAATCTGTGTAAGTATGAAACAGAGGGCAGGTAGGGAATGTAGAGTAAGAATAATTCATTTTCAAAAGGGTTAGGAATCTTGGTGGGGTCCAAGTTCAGATCTTTATGTGAGATAGCTGCCAAAAGGCTAATGAAAGCTTGGAACCATTAAGAAAGGCAAAATGTTCAGAATCAAAGGAGAACAGGGCTACTGTAGTTTGTCAGTCAGACCTCATCTGTAGGATTCTGTCCAGGAAGGGTAAATAAGATAATACAAGATCTGGAAGCCATGTCATGTGACAGCTTAAAGGACTTGGGAATATGCATTTGGAGAACAGAAGGCTATTCACACTCATTAACTAAAATACAAAGGAGGCAGTCATTTTACTGTGTTTCTTTATAAGAGAGAGCTAAGACTAACTTACTAGATGAAAGCAAATTTTATCTAGTGTTAAAGACAGGAAACAAGTCTTGATTGAATACCCACCATTAGCCGTTGTGCTAGGTACTTTACATTATCTTATTGAAACATTTCAGACACTGATAGCTATTTGGGGGTGGTCATCCCCCTGCCACTGAAAGTCAGATGTCCAGTTCAGCATGATTCATTTCAAGCAGTGGAAACTGCTCTTCTGCTTCCTAGACTTGGGATGTGAAATGGGTCCTTCAGAAGCCAGCTTCCTACTTGGAGGCAGCTCTTCGGGTTTCAGAGATGGCTAACCAGCTCTCTCATATGGATTTCCATATGACAAGCTTCCAAGACACTGCTGCATTCCTGACTGTGAGTGAGGGATTACTTAGTCCATCTTTTCCAAACCCATATTTTCCAGTCAGTCTTAAATGTCGGGATAGGGATACATTTGTCTAGCGATATGTCTTTGGGAAGAGATGGGCAGAGGTGGAGAGCCTACAATTCCATTAGCTTACAAGGAATAGTGTTACTGGTGATGGGATGACTTAGGAAATAACATTCTGTGTATATATATTTCTTGGTCAAATGCAGTTATTTTCTAATACCTAAAGTCACCCAAATGTTCAGCCTCCTCCCTTGTCCCCCCCCAGCCTCAAGAATCTTCTGGAAGTGATCAACTATGTCCTTGGCAGGAATTTGACCTTCTTTAATTTGGAGGATTCCTGTGGAGAAAATTTAATGAAAAGGCCATTACAAAGTTGTCAGCAGGTAGAAAGTCAGCAACTAGTAGACCTTAGGGCCCTGTGCTCACTGTCAGCCACGCAATACAGATGCTCCTTCATCTCATTCATATCTTGGTTATAAAGCCAGCTTCTCAGTGAGAAGTTGCTGCTCCTTTTCATCTTCTGATCTTATTTCTGCTTCTTCTACTCCTGCCGTAATTTTTGCATATTATTTAGCATCACCCAATATTTCTATATTTTATTTGTCTTTTTATTATCTACCTCTACCCACTACCATGTGGATAGAGATTTTTGTCTGTTTTGTCATAACTAGAATCCCACCTGATACTGCCTGGCCAAGAAAAATGTTTAATATTGAATGAATGAATGAACGAGCGAACGAACGAATGAATGCTAGCTAATTGAAATTACAGAGAGAATTGTCCAGGAGTGATAACTGATCCCCATCTTTTGTGCTTCAATTGCTCATTCACATTCCTACACTTTGGGGTGAAGCCCGCTGAAACACAAAAACTTTTCATTTGACCACAAGAGTGTGCTGTTTATCAGTTTTTCATTTTTTAGGTCCCTCATTCTGAGATCATTCTCACTCTCCCCACGCCATCCCAAAAGAAAAATATGAGACAGCCATGTGCACAGTCAAAGCAAACATACAATGTGCCTCCCACCCTGACACTGTTGTCCTGTGAAGTTCAGTTAAAAACTGTATCCATGTCCTCAAAAGGGCAAAAAGTTCACTAGACAGCAAGAATTTGCAGAATAGGAGAAAGGCATTGCCGTACTTAGCTTTGGTAACTGTGAAGCTGGTCACAAGATCTCGTGTTTTGTGCAATATCCTTCTACTCCCCCTTGCCTTTCCATGGCCAGTGCCCAACAAGAGAATGCGTTGTCACAACACAGAGTCTAGGCTCCAGGTGCTCAGAAAAGAAAGACAAATTCTCCAGGAACTCTTTCCCTCTTTACTCTACCTGCTTTGTAAAGACATGATGTTGGGCCATATGGAATGATATGGAAATGGAGAGGTCCAAGGTTCAGAAGTCAGAGCACACAGCAATGACACCACAGGTAGAAGCAACAGGATGGAAGTACCCCCAAATGAAACTGTCTCAGGTTGGGAGAGAAAGCTTAATGGGAGAGCTGACATTTGGATTAGGATTTGAACCTTAGGTAGGTGCAAAATTGTGTGTGGCTACTTCTCAAGCACATTCTGATCTCATACAATGCTTTTTATATGGCACTAAATTTTAGGGATAATTTTCTTCTCCGCTGAGAATAAGTAAACACCTGTGAACATGAAAAAGGTTAGCTTTTCAGAACAACCTACTTGTATAAGACATAGCATGATGTGAAATGCACGGACTGTATTAGTGATGGTGGGAACAAACGTTACATCCATCTTGCGGTTGCCAGTCGAATAACCTTTGTGCTCACCCTGGAGTGAGTGGAGAATCTGACAGATGAAGACATCTTTTTTTTTTTTTTCTTTAGAATGAAGTGTAGAAGCTCCTGGGGGAGCTTTTCTTATCATACCTTAAATGCAGCATTTTTCAGCAGCACAAAGTGAAACCCGTGAATGTCCAGTGATACCCTGGGACTCACAGGTCAAATTTCAAGACCAACACAGAGAACTCTGGTGAAACATATCTTTTATTTGAAAGAGAGAAAGCAAGAGGAAAGAATGAAATGAAGAGGTCAGATGTGAGAAGCTTCAGCTCTGAGTGGGAGGCTCCCACTTTTGTCATGCCCCCTCTCCCCCAGGAGCAGTTCAAAGCCACACAGGGACCCCAGACTAGTGAGGTAGAACTTCTTCCACCTCTAGAGTGAGGACAGGGTATAAGATGTCCCTCAGCCTCTTCAAGGTCTTCCTGCTCATCACCATGGGCAGGGCATCCACAAGGATGTCTGAGTTTATATACTGCAGCTGGAAAAGCACATAGCCCAGCAACCTGATGAAGATCATGACCACGAAGACAAGACACCATAGATACCTGCAGAGAGACATTTGACATTAGCCTCGGGAATATGCCGAGGCCCCAGCAGGAGGGGAGGAGAACCTCACACTCATAAATGACAGGCCATCAGGAATGAAGACCAAAAAGATGAGGTTAGGGGACAGGAAATAACAAAAATGATTGATGTAATAGTTGGGAATTCATCACGGCCCTCTAACATATAAACCCGCCAACAGACAGATGTTCATATAGAAAGGCAGAGATACTCTATAGAAGTGTGCCCTTGGGGGTTGCCAGAGAATGTCTAGCACAGTCACTCTTATGAGTCACATGACTCCTAGCCCACTTCATTTCCTTGAGGGTCAGCAGTTCTAGAAATTAAAATAAGATCAGGCTATCTCTGACATTAACATCCAAGTAAAATCACTTAGACTGTTTTTTTCTAAACACCAAATGTCAAAATAGACCAACCCAAACAGTGAACAATGTGTGGAAACGTTTTTTCTTGTGTTCATGCAAGAAAATTCTATGCTGAATCCTGGCATAAGGCCTTCAGTGTTCAGCTATATTGAAATGTCATAAATTGAAGCTTTCCATTAAAGTGCCACATGGAGCAACTTTGGGTCAACCTCTTTATTTAAAAAAAATTAAGAATAAAGGGCTTAAAGAGTTCAAATGATCTTTTCCCCAAAATGTTCAATCAGTAGGAGAACTAAAAAAAATTAATGCACCCTGAACAGTCCTTCTAGCAGAGTCTAGCAGAGATGATGACTTTCAGGATCTGAAAACGAGAAGGGGCCAACAAAGAGTCTCAAGAATAGAAATTTAAAGTGCAGTGCAACCTGTAGCCTTTGTCCTGCATTCTCAGATACAGACTTAGTCTCTGACAACCAAAGCCTATATAATTTTGGTATTAAGAAGAGAAGGCAGACAGAGTCAGAAAAATATGGGGCTGCCAGATTTTCTGCTCAATGAAAGTGTTTAATTTTTGTGCCTTCTTAAGTTATTCACTTGACAAAGTGAATATAGCTTAAGCAGGTAAAAATCAGGATTCTGCCACTTACCAGTACTGAAGATTCTTTTCTGTTTCTTAATGATGGTCTGCTCCTGTGGAAGGTGATAAAAGCACAGAGCTATGCCTGTCACATGCTCACAGGAAGGCAGCAAGCAGGGTGACTAACAGGACCAAGAGTCTGGCTGGTAGGGTTTGAATCTCGGTTGCGCCACTTTCTAGCTGCCATGATGTGAAGCAAGGTACTGAAACATGATTTCTTAGTGCTACAGTTATTAAGAAGGTGGGGGAGGGGTGAAATAGGAGACAGGGAGAACCTAGGGCAGGGAAGGGATAGAGAGAAACTCCAACTTACATCAGGGCAGACTTACCACGTTGCTTTGGATGGTCTCCACCAGAATTAACCCAGGTCTCACTGTTTGGGCAGAGTTGTTCTGGGCCTTGACTCTGGGTGAAATAAATCAGATCCAAGAATAATATAACATAATCTGAGGGACTAATGATAGGTGTCTGTCTAAGTCAGATAACAAACATCCATGGTTTAATTCCTAGGTTCTTGATAATAATTAACATTCAGAATTCATTATTCCCCAACATCTAAAGATCAGAAAAATCTGACCCACTGTCAAAAGAAAAGGCAATCAATGGGGAGTAGCCCTGACATGACCCTTATGTGGTTCGGCAGAGTTCAACAGGACCCTCAGTTGGGCTGTTCACAGACTGCCCTGAGCAAGCATGGCCTACAGTCAGCCAGATATTTAAGCTGAGATTATACAGAACATTTGTGACTCCCCATGTCTGATGCTGCCTTTTATTCAGCAGTTTTACTGTTCAGACCTCTGCCCTCCATTTTTTAACTTGGTTGTCTCCTGGTGTTTCAGTCACATACCAAGTTTAGCCTGCCCTTAAGCTACAGTGATAAAAATGGGGAAATTCCCCCTCAACTATTCCCTTCTACTAATGTCCCCTTTCCTCCAGAAACTGACTACTTTTATTCACTCTCCCTGCCTTCTGGTTTGCTCATTTGTTTTGCTCTTCAAGTTTTGAACTGTTCCCTGCTAGAGTGTCAGAACCTGTAAAAGTTTGCTCAATCTTTTCAAGGGAATATCATTTTGTAATCATCACATGGAAGAGAAAAGGGAGAAATGGTACAAATCCCAGGTCTGGCTAAGGTGGAATGCTTTGTCTCAGAACAGTCAAACCAAAACACAACTTTAAAATCTAGACAAAGTACTGTAAAACAGCTGTTGGAATACACTGAAAAATGCAGTCAGTAGTTGAGGGGATACAATCCTTGAGAAAAGTAGGTCCTCATTTGTCAGCCTTCTCCCCAAGGGCATTTGTCAGCTTGTGGGAGGGCCACAGAGTCTGCAGCAATGGCAGCATTAATTGAGGAACAGAGCTCGGAGTGCAAGACCTGCAAATCAACTATGACTTGAAAGGAAACAGTCCAAGGGATGAAGGAACCGTAGAGAAATATGATCAAGTATCTGCATGAATTGTCCTTTCAAGTTGTGCAAGTGTAGCTCAAGATTTCCTAGAAAGCAGAAGATGCTTCAAGAACAGAACCAAGAGGGGAGTAGTCATTAGTACTGAGAGAATAAAAGTTAGAGTTGGAGGTCTGTTAAACATGAAGGGGCACTGGTACTTTTCTGGGAAAAACATGATCCTTCAATACACTCAGAAAACACATTAAATCACATTTAATACCTACCCATGATAAAAATAATAAAAATAAAGCCACCCAGCAACTCCAAATAAAAGGAAAGTCTCTTAATCTGTAAAAAAAAGTGACTATAGGAACTCTAAACACCATACTTAGTGGTAAAATACTAAATACTCTGAGCTGAGTAAAACTTGAATAAAGTTGTGAAGAATTGAAAAAAATTGAATAAAATAGTAAATACTCTTATTTGAATACAATTTAGTTGACTGACTCAAGAAAGCTCACTGTTACCCCCTCTAGCCAATATTGGACAGAAATTCTTAGTGAATATAAGGCATGAAAAAGAAATTAAAACTACAAGACTAGAAGAGGAGAAATAAAACCATTACTCAAAGAAAATCTAAAATTATTAGAATAAGTAGATTTAGCAAAACTGATAATATAAGTTCAGCATATTTATAGCAGTTATAACAATCTATATACTACAGTAATCAGAGAATCAAATTAGCAAACAGCCCATTTTAAAAACATCAAAAATGTTTAAAAAAGTGTAAATTATAAAAAAAAAACCTGATGAAAGCTGTACAAGAACCCTATGCAGAAAGCTACAAAACATTGCTGTATGAAATAAAAGATCTAACTATATGGGGAGATAATAATGCTCATCTACAGTTGTGTAGATATCAATTAGCCTCCAATTCTATAAATAGATTTGCTCCTTCAAAATCTCAGTATTGTTTTTTTGAAACTGAAAAGCTACTTTAAAAATTCATATGAAGATTCAAAGTAACAAGAATAGCCAAGGTAATCTTGAGAAGTAACCATCTGCGGGGCTAAAGCTACCATATTTCAAGACAAGTTACACAATTAAAGTATTTAAAATAGTATATAGTATTGGCACAAGGATAGAGATACAGACAAATGGTACAGAATATAGAGTATCCAGAAATAGACACACACATATTCGATCACCTGTTTATAAAAGAAGGCCCCTCTGAAAATGCATGGTCTCCATATATGCTGTTGAGTCATATGACTATACAGGAAAAAAAAAATGCATCTTGAGCTCTACTTTAGATCATAGTGAAAAAAAAAATCCAAAATCAATGTAAATCTAAGTGCAAAGGACAAATCAATAAAAGAAGTTCTAAGGGAAAGCATAGGGAACCAGTTTCATCATCTAAGGAAAGTTGCTATGCAAAAACCCCAAAACAAATTGATAGATTAGATTTCCTTAAAATGAAGACCTACTAATGGCCTTTTTTGTGAGTTTGTCTGTTACTCTCCTCCATAATACTGTGTTGTTTACACCAAAAGGATTTTTGTAAGATACTACTCCTTAGAGTTCATCTATAAAAATCTGTGTCATCTATATAACACCTCTGTGACCACCCTCACAAAAATATCTTAGATCATAAGCATATTTCTCTCCTATTGACCTTTTGGCCATGAGTATAGTAGCTTTCTCAGATATTTAGAAGAAAATGCTGAACACAAGGTTTTACCTTTCATTTATGTAGTTTTGTTTCCCAAAGTAGCAGTATTATTATTCAATATTTGATGATGTTAATAGGAACACATGAAAACAAAATTGTTCAGAAACAAGGCTTATCTCAATGATTGTAGACACTAAACAATGAATCATCAATCATTCTCTGAGTATATGAAGAATCATGTTGGCATAAGGAAAGCAATGGTTTTTGTAGCTGTTGATTTTTTTCAATTATAATTATATAGGATTGTATTAGGTGAAGTGTACAACATAATGATTTGCTATATGTATGTTTTGCAAAATGTTTACCATAGTAATTTTGGTTAGCATGTAATACCACACATATAAAGTTTTAAGATTTTTTCTTATGATGAGAACTTTTAAAATTACTCTCGTTACCATGTTGCACATTATATTTCTAGGATTTATTTATCTGATAATTGGAAGTTTTTATCTTTTGACCAACTTCACCCATTTGGTGAGAGGGTGGGGGTAAGTGAGTGAAATATTCCATTAACAGAGTAAAAAGAGTGAGTCATAGAATATACTGTGATAAATACCTGAAAAAAGATCTCATAAAAAATATGAGGGACTACTACAGATTAATAAGAGACTGACAATTCCTAAATATAGACAAGAGATATTCATAAAAAGAATATGCAAATTCCAATAAACAGTTTTATATCCAATGTTTGGTATATACTCAAGAGAAATTAATGCCCATGTCCACCAAAAGGCATAGCAGTTGTACTTGAGTAACCTAAACCTGGAAATAACCAAAATGTTCAGCAATAGAATAGATCACATCATATGCATGAAATACTATACTGTCGTGAAAAAACCAAGGCAGAACTGTATATAGCAATGTGAAAGCCAGACACAAAAGGGAAAATAATGAATTTTATAAAACATCCAAGAACAGACAAAATCAGGATAAAACTATAGACACCAGAATAGTGGTTACCTTTGCAAGAAGTATGGTCCAAGAAAAGGGCATCAGGAAGCCTTTTGTGTTATTCAGAATGTTTTATATCTTGAGCTGAGTGGTATTATATGTACATTGTATGTATGGCTGCCAAGCTATGTACATAAGATATGTGCAGTCTATGTATATATACAACACAGTGCATAATGTAATGCAATGAAAAAGCATAAACAAAAGGATAAAACAAGTCTACAGTCCCACACATCTGTTGGGCATCTCTGGGGTCCCCTGAGTGTAGTGGGTCACTAGGTCCAGAGAAGGAAGATAGCATTCTCTATGGAGAAGCAATTCTCGGCCCCTGGGCCTCTTTTTACTCTCTGAACATGGCTTGTCGTTTCCAGGAATGGTCCTGAACTGAGAACACATGAAAAGAACCTAAAAAATAGACCTTTCAAACACTAATTGCAGAGAGAGAGTCAAGAGAGTAGCCTGAATGTTGATGATTTTTCTGCTCAGAACACAGAGCAGAGGCTGGCAGGGATGACTTGTTGGTGACCAATTATAGTGACACAAAGTGGTCTGAGAGTACTCTGCTTGTCAAAGACTGCCTGGAAACTGTCACCTCAGTTTATCAGGGAGATCATTTCCAAACTTACATTTCTTTTTCAAGAAGTAGCATATCCTTCTCCTTTTCCATCTGCTTCAAAATTTCCTGGTATTTCTTCCCATGGAAATAAAAAAAAAAGTCATAGTTGAGAATTTCCATAAATTTCAATGTGTCATTTATAAAAGACCCTCAATGACAAACTCCTGCTATCCCAAATGGTTGGTGTGGAAGTGCAAAAAGCAAGTAGGGAAGATGTTCTGATAAATAGTTAAGAGGTTAGATAGATATATATGAATAAAGGACTTCTCACTTTGGATTCTGTTAGTCTTCAAATTATAGCCCTGATTCTTACTTGTTATGTTCCTAAAGTATATGCCCTAATTCCTTCAAACCTCAGTGCCCCTCTCAGTCATAAGAATATTCCCATAGAGTTATCAGAAAAATTGACTGAGAAAAAAGCTGAACGTGCCCAGACCTGGCACAAAATTAATCCTTAACAATCATCTGCTTTGTTGTTGCTATTGAATAAAAGTCATTTTTCCCTAGTGGCAGATTTTAGCCAATGAGAAACCAAGGAACCCACAACCTTGGAGAAATTTTGCCTCTACTTTGACTTGCCTCCAGAGGCCTTGTACCTTTATGTAATGGGCCTGATCCTTACAAAGTTCATACACAGATTGGTAGTCGCTCTCTATCTAGAAAGAAAAGAACATTAACAGATATGATCACTTGAATCAGCACCAAGCCTAGGCTGCTCTCTGGGGCCCTAACCGATGTATTGGACATTTGGCTGGTTCCCTAGCAACTCCTTACCAGAAGGGAAAACAACCAGATCATAAAGTGGTGATCTCATCATTCAGGGGCATGGTCTAATTTTGAGCAAAGGAAATGGTTTGCCCAGGTTGTCCTCAGCCTCTGACATTCTCAGGACACTTCGTTTGGGACTCAAAAATAGATTTTGAGGTAGAAGGGAGTTCAAGAAATTATAAGACTGGCACTTGTAGCATGATCTTTTTTTTCCCTTCACCTGCTTGAGAATCAGATTCATTTGACAGAATATTCTTGCTCCTCTCCCTCCCATGCCTCAAGCCATTGTTTCTGAGAACTTTGGGTTCTACCCCATTTATACCCTGGTCACATCCTTGGTAGAGGAGACAGCCTCTACCTTGGCCAGTTCCTTTGCTTGTTCTGCACAGGACTCTGTTGACTCTTGTAGTTTCAGCTGTGAGAGACAATGAATGACAGAGTTAGTAGTATTCTCTCACAGAAGCAAATGTTATTGATCACCCTCTAGATCAACAGAAAGTATTCTAGTAATGTTTATCATATACTGAGGACATACCATAACAATCTGGAGTTGGCACTCAACTACCCCCATTTTACAGATGAGGAGACACAGGTGTGGAGAAGTGAAGTTCATAGCTTGTTTTAAAAATCACAAAGTGGCAAAGTTGACACTGAAACATTGGTCATGTAACTGCCCAGTCTATAGGCTTAACCATCCACCTTCCTCCAGTCTTACTGACAAAAGCTCACCAGCCACTTTCTCCCTCTCCTTCCATGAGGTATACTCACATGCTATCTGAATCACAGAACAAAAGAGAAACTGTGTGCCTTTATTTATTTATTTTTCAGAGAAAACCAGAGCATATTAATTTGCCGTGGTGGTCTCTGCCAAATTACCATATATACCACATAAATCTGCAGTTTCCAATAGGGTCTCTGTTCACTCCAGGGCATCCAGTTCATTCATTCACTGAACAAATAGTGGGTATCTACTACAGACTAGGCACTGTCCTAGGCACTAGGAAAATAGGAGTGAATAGCATAGATAAAATGGCATGTCCTTATTGGGCTTACCTTCTGGTCAAGTCAAAGTCTGTGAAATAAAATAAATGAAACTTCCTTCCCCTATTAACCATGGGTTATGAAACCAGGTAGGGTCACTGATACATCCCAGTGTAATTGTGGAAGATCAGTATTGACTTCCTACTTCAATATCTTGTATTTAGGTCACTTTTTTAGGTCAAAAACTTCTTTCAGGAAAATCCAAATGGGCATTCAGAATTTGTGTTCTGTGTTCTATTGACTGATGTTCTGGAACAGTTCTTCTATGTTGATGCCACTGTAGCCGTCACTGGTGGGACTAGTGACTTGGAGTGCCCTACAGGCCTTCAGGTTAAGTAGAAGGTAGAGAGCCCTGGCTCACCTCTGATGAAGAGACAGATATACTTAGCCTCCGGGAGGCCTTCCTAAACCTAAAAATGACATAACATCTGCCAGAAAACCTTTAGACTTTGCTTTTTACTCACCCTCAATTCTGTCAACGCCTGCTTTAGGGTTCCTTTAGCAAGGTCAAGATTCTTATTCATTCTTGAAACCTGAAATACCATCCCCCAAATCATGAACTGGGCAATGTACACAGATACAAAAACCTGGGATAGAGACAGGCTGGGATGGTGGTGCAGTGGGGGCACTTGGGACTGCAGAATGGTGGTTAATGAATTCAGATTTAGAAACTTGTGGGAAAATGTCTCCTTTTCCCTATGGAAGTTGCCTGACTCCATGCTAGTAGGACAGACCCTAGCATGGATTTCCCACAGCTCATGGATACTATAGCATAGTGAGGAGAGAGAGAAAAGAGAAAATGGAGTGACGTTGTTGGGAAGGGAAGGACAAATGTTTTCTCCTTTTATAGTCCTTTAGCTCTCTCACCATATATCTGCAATTCCCAGTGAACAAATTAGAGTTTGCTCTAAATGATGCAGAAGGTAGCAGTGGAGAGGAAATACACTCACTTTGCACGTTGCTCTTTCACCAGTCTGTAGGAATAGAGAGTTTAAGAGTTCAGATGTCTCTATTGAGAGTCCTAAGAAATGAGCCTTCTCCTCATGGATGAACTTAATGTTGGGACCCTTGAGAACCCAAAGCCCATCTTACCTTCTTCTGAAGCTCCATCACACTCTTGCCTAGAACCTTGTTACTTTTTTCCTAAGGAAAAATAGAGGTAAAGGGGACAAACCTGTGTGTTCTGTATCTCCCCCCTCACTGGACCATGAAATACCAATGGGGGATAAGTGTATCAAGTGGGAATGCACTTTGGCCCCCCATAGAGGATTTGAGAACAGAGCACAGCACTGGCCCCCAGGCCCAGAACTTTATTTTTAGCCACAGCTGTGATTTCTAAAGCTACAGAAGCCATGGTCATGTGATGATGGTCCCCGGAAAAGAGAACAGCAGACTGCAAGCAAAATCTATCAGACGGTTCGTTACTAGACGCCTCCTTACCAGATTTGCGGTCTCTAATTCCAGGTCCCTGAGGATTTCCTCCTTCTCGGATATGATGTGACCCAGCTCCTCCCTTTCTCGGGCTTGTGCTACTGACAGAGCAATCTCTCTTTCTAGACTGAAAAATACAGATACCCAGTTGTGGATCAGTTCCAAGGAAGCTGCCAGAATCCCAGCTTGGAAAGCCACTGACAAGGTTTTAGGGAGCCAGAATAATTACCAAATGCAGTTGTAATAAAATGTCAACTTAATGTGGAAATTTAATGCAAAAATCAATACATAAAGATTTTTAAGTGCACCACAGTTCATGTTCCAGAATAAAAGTAAAAGCCCAGATTCATCAATGAATAAGTAAACCTTCCTCCTACCTTCTTTCTGTAAACCCAAAGGACATTCAGATGAGAAGCCCTCCCACCACCAACTGCAAAGCCTGACCTTTGAATAGTTCCTTCTTTCTCTTGAATTTTTCTGAGAAGAACCTGATTTGCCTCATCCAGTCTCTGTAGGTCCTTTTCAAGGTCCAAGTTCAGGGAGTTTAAGTTCTGTTTTGTGACTTCTAATTTTGATATTTCCATCATCTTATGCCTATGGTAAAATAATCTTCATTATCAAACTCAAAACAGAAAAACACAAGCCCTAAAATGATGCTCTCCTGAATTGCATTCACTTCTCCATCTTCTGTTGTCACTGTGCCTAACCAGTGCTACATTTGGTCCATATTCCATTGATTCCTGTTTTACTTTATGCAAAAAAGTAATTGCATAAAGTAAATTCCTGGAGTCAAATCACATTTTCATTTTAAATACTATCCATGAAACCCATTAAAATGTAAATCTTTTATGAAGCAGAAGAGATTTCATGTAAATAATTATATTCTAACTTACTTGTTTTGCAAACTTTATATGGAATAAGTTGAATCCAAGCCACCCCTGTGAAATATTTAATGATCTACAAAGGAGAGCAATTTCTTCCAGCTCTTGTTGTTACTGTCTCCTAAGGAGTTTGTCCTGTTGAATGCTTTCTGAGTCAGAAAGACTCATGGAATAGACAGGGAACAAGGCCTTGGATGGACCTTTTCCTCACAAAGGACTGATTTAAAAACAAAACAAAACAAAATGAAAACATTTGCTATCTCTGAAAATCCTATTACTGATATGAGGAAGTTTGATGAGCTCAACTCAAAGTCTTTCTCCCCAAGAAGTCTCCACAGGCTTCTAGAGATAAGGGCTCCATCATTGATGTTTTCTTCCTCCCTCTGTTGCGTCAGGTCCTCCTATAGTAGCTCTTCACATAACTCTTTCATCCCTCTCATGACTTACACAACATCCATTGGGTCCTGTACAACCTCTTTCATTGTAGATTTCCTAAATTATGAATAACAAACAGGTGCTATGTAAAGGAATCCCCTAATATCCAACATAGTAATTGATCCAGGGAAAAAGTTTTTTTTTTTATTATTAAATATTTATTTATTTTTGCCATACAAAACTGGGATATAGGCCAGAGGTGCAGGGGCAATGAGAGGATTCACCACAGACATAGCGGGGAGCAGATCAGGATGACTGACGAAATACACTACTGAGCGTAGCATCGGGCAGGTCAGGAGAGGTTTGCTGCGCCATGTGGGTCATCTCCAGGGCAGGGGTCAAACTCATGCTGAAGTAGCTTTAGCTTCTTAGTGCTACGCTTTAACCCACTGTACCACCAGGGAGGGCCCAGAAAAAGTTTTTTAACCAGACAAGACAACCAAGAAGAAATTCATGTCTCCTTGACTCTCCTTTATAAGACCAATTGCAACATTTTGCTAAATTTCAGTAAATGAATACCATAGGAATATAAACATCTTTTTGTTTATATAATTTTTCACACTTTGACTACCTTTCCCCTTTTTTGTCTGTATTTGCTTAGTTCCTGGTAAAGTACTACACATCCTCATTTCACTTCTTTTGACAAATGCAATGAGAGTTATTTCTATTTAATCTTCTTCAGAGAAATAAAAAAAAAGAAATAATAGTCAAAATATTGGCTGCCTGATGTCCATTGTCTATTATCATTCCTATTTTCTAATAAGTGCTACATATTATAGGATGAACTGATTCTGAAATAACAGCATAAGTAACAAGATACAGGCACTGAAAGGAAGAAATAAATGCCAAGGTTTCAGAAATGGTGTCTCCTAACCATAGCACCAAAATTAAAATTTAGGGCTGAAACCATTCTAAGAGAAATGGAATATCAAAATTCCATTCCTTCTGATTTCATTCTCCCTTCATATTTCTTCTCTCTAAAATATTTTTGTTTTAACTCAACCCTTTCACTCCTTTCCCACTTTTTCATCACTCTGTCTTCATTTCTCCCCCGTCCCATTTGTCTTAACACACAAGACATCAGCATTTGTGAGAATGCCCTCTGAATTTACCTTTCTCTCTCAGCTGTGATTTCTTCTGCTCTCAGCCAAGATTTCCAGTTGAAAGTCAACACTTTCAGGAAAAATAACTCCTTGCTCACAGAGTTCTCCACAGGTACCTGGAGCTTTCATCTTGGGCTGGGTAGGGGCAGCATGTCATAGTGGGCATGACTGGGTGGGGTGGTAGCAACTTAGCATCTGTGGAGGCAGAAGAGGAGCAGAGTTTAGTACTAGGAGGCTTCTCCTCTGAATAATTTGGATTTCAAGTTGGAACACAGTTATTCATTTTCCCCAATCTCTAGGCCTAATAATGGTTGAGGCCAGTCTTATTTCACTTCATTTGTCTTAACAACCATTATTGTCTGTAGCTTGTGTGCAAGTTGTTAACCCAGATCCAACTTAGCAGCTGCCAATGTATCTAAGAGGTCTGAAAGAGGGCTAGAAAGAATCTAAGTGAAGCTTTTGCTGCGAAACAAATAAGCCCTCATCCTTACAAATTTAGATTCTTAGAGCTGAAAAAAAAATAATTTTCCCTTTATTTCTCCTGAATTGGCACTAACAAGTCACTGGAGGAAAAGGATGATGTTTCAAAGGTGGAAGAGTAAGAGGAGGTGGACTTGGAAGAAGAAAAGAGGATAGTTAATTCCAGAGACCCTGTGCTGTTCCCCATTCCCTGCTTATTTTCTGAGGTCTTAAATGACTGGAAGGCTACATTGGATTTTACACATTAGTGTCACAGTGTAACTCTACCAAGCAGTTCTAGCTTTCTATGATTTTTACTGAGAAGATGAGGCAGGATACAGAATTGGAGTGCTATTAATAAAAGTATATGCTTGGAATTCAAATCTATCCATTTCTGTCTCTTTCACTCAGTAATCTAAGCCTAACCTTGTCCACCTAGATTGTGCTAATGTTTTTGGAATAAGGCCTTAGAAAATATACCATTGTCTCCTCATATAAATGTCTCTCCCACACAGTGGCTGTCATAATCTTATATGTCCTTCTCAACCCAAATGTCACTTTTTGTACAACTTCCCAGATCTATCAATACTCCCTCATCCCTGCCAGAATAAATCCTTCCTACCTCTTCTTCTCCTTTTTTCTGATTTATAGAACATGCATACACTGGCCTGCATCTCATAATTAGGCTATAAACCCGTTGAGTGAGTGTTTTAATCAAAGCATTTTGATCTCTCTTCAGTTATGCTTCAGAGGCACCATTTACACTTAATTCAGTGACAATAGTGCTCTTCCCTCCTCCACCCCCCAACACACACACCCAAATTGTTCAAAAGGGAATGGTTCTGAAAATGTAGAATAGAAGTAGGCTGGGTTAGATATAGAAGGCTCTGGCTTTTGTTCTATCCTGCTACTCCATAATTGTATTCTTTTGGGCAAATGAATCTCTCTAATCTGTCTCCTGATCTATGCAATACACCTTACTTCTACTTCACAGTGTTATGAAGATTAAATAAAATAATATTTGGAAACCCCTAACACATTGTGTGACATGCAGAAGTACCTCATTTTCATATATTCTTCAGTATAATGCATTTTTCAATTTTCTGTCTTATGCTACCTTTGTACATGGCCTGGGCTGAATATTTTTGGAATAAGTAGCTGAATTAATGATTCATTCCACCCACTTTATCTAGAAGAGCTGTAATCCTACTACACCTTCCAACATACCTGACTCATTCACTCCCATTAGTACACTCTCATTAGCAATACATTGCACCAAGGCAGAATTCTCAGTGGATGGTCACATCCCCAGGAGGCTGACCCACAGCCATTGGGGATATAATTTGAAAGACTCTCTTATACCTCCCAGCTGTCTTGGTCTCTGGTTGATGATGCTGCTAAAAAATATATTCTCTCTATCAAACTGCATTCTTCCTCTCTTAAAGACACTGCATAAATTCCTCTCAATGGAACCTTCCAAAGTAAACCTTTCCTAGCATATTACTCCAAGGAGATGATGTACACTTTGAATGTGGCCTTGTTTCCTTTTGTGCTTTGACACCAAGAAGAAAAAGCCATTTTTAGAGCCCAAATTTTTATGATTATACTGGTCATTGTGGTCTGTATGTCTTTCTTGTAGTCTTAGTCTCCTAGTCTTATTTCATGTGCCACTGATATTTATTTTGCATTAAATAAGTAGTTTCCTTCCTTCACCACATTTCCCTTTGGCTTCTATTCCTCAGTCTATTGGATTCACTTTTTTTTTTTTTTTTTGCTGCCAAATTGACCTTTGATATTCTGGGTTTCTCTGGGTACTATTCTTGGGATCTCCCTTAGTTGCACTGTCTTTTACCCATAATCAATCCTCTCCTAACTCTGGACCCAGCTCAGCACCTGGAAACTAAAATCCCCACTTGTTAAAATAGGGCATGAAGATCATTAGATGCTTCAAATATTTTGATGATACTGCTAATGAACGATGAAGGAAACTGATGGCCACTACAGTGGTTGACTAGTGAGCCCAAGGTGGTATACTTGTTTACTTGCCAGGGGCTGGGACCTAGACCGGAAACAAATGTTACTGGCTTCACTCAGTAATTGACTAGAGGGAAAAAGTTGTGATGGTTACTGCTATAAATAGGACATTGGGTCATTTATACAAATTAAAAATAGAAAGATTAGGCCCTCCCTGGTGGCGCAGCGGGTTAAAGCACTACACTAAGAAGCTAAAGCCACTTCCACATGAGTTCGATCCCCGCCTGCCCCAGAGGTGACCACATGGCGTGGCAGACCTCTCCTGACCCGCCCACTGCTCCCCTCAGCAGTGTACTTTGTCGATCTGCCTGTTCTGCTCCCCACTCTGTCCCTGGTGAATCCTCTCACCCTCCGCATCTCTAGCCTGTACCCCAGTTCTGTATGAATAAATAAATAAATCTTTAAAAAAAAAAATAGAAAGATTAGGGCCCTCCCTGGTGGCACAACAGGTTAGAACGCAACACTACGATGCTAGCTAGCCACAACCTCTTCAGCACCTTGGTTCAATCCAAGGCCAGGGAGCTGGCCATATGGTGTAGTGGACCTCTCTTGCTCACCTGCTGCTCACATGAGTAGCAGATCTGCTTGTTCTGTTCCCCACTCTGTCTCTGGTGAAACCTCTCATCTCCCACACCTCTGGCCTGTACCCCAGTTCTTGTGTGCATAAATAAATAAATCTAAAAAAAAAAAGGAACGATTGCAATTTAGATAAGTAGAAATAAATTCATAGATTTGCCTCAGGTGGGTTAGAACAAATATATGCTCTGTTGATTAAGAAAGTATACTGGGACCTCTCAGATTTCTTACTCATTTGTCTCTTTCGTGTGCAGTTGCTCCAAGATATTTTTTTTATAATAACAAGTTTCAAAAATAGAAATGAGAGGCTTTTCACACAGTTTTCCATCTTAGATAACTGTGGCAAATTGGCCTTGGTAGGGTGTGTGTGGCTATACCCATGACATTTTATCAGAAGTATAGATTTGTGTAGCCACTACTGCAGTGACGGTTCAGAATTCTTCCATCTCCAAAAAGTACTTCCTCATATTTTTCCCTTATAGGCACACCCCCTTCCTTCCAAACATCATCCCTAACCTCAAAAGCCACTTATTCCGTTTCTCTTTGAAAATATTGTATATAAATGAAACCATACAGTCTGTGATGCCTTGAGATGACCTTTTTTTCCCCCTTGAGGTTCATTCAAGTTTTTTCTTATATCAGTAGTTTATACCCTTGTACTACTGAACAGTATTCCGTTATATCAATGTACTATGGTTTGTTTAATACATGCTTCTTTTAAAGGGTATTTATAGTTGTTCCCATGTTTGGCGATTACAAATTACTATGAATAATTATATACAAATTTTTGTGGAGATATCAACTGTCATTTTTCTGGGACAAATACCCAGGAGTGCAATTGCTCAGTTGTATCATAAATATATATTTAGTTCTTT